GGGGGGGAGGGGGGGAGGTAATGCGTCTCTGATATTGGAAATTGTTCAAGGGGCCGGGTCAAATGTGGAGGCGGGCCGTATCCGGCCCGCGGGCCGTAGTTTGGGGACCACTGGTTTAGATAGTTCACTTTAGTCTAAGTTATCTCAGTGGGTCTCAAATGTTTTGATCACAATTTATGTAAGCAAATACTTCAAAGGGACACCTTTATAATTATTAGGATAAATAAAAACAGGTTTGAAATCATTACAATGTATACTATAGGACAGTAAACCAAAAATATTGTTTAAAACTGGAGAGATTTAAAAATATGCATAAATAAATAAATGTAACTGGTAAAATAAGATATAAATGAACCACAAAAATAAAACAAGTTAGCCTACATTTATTTGTTATTGGCTATGGTAGGTTATTGGTTATGTTCACATACAAACCGATCTTTTTCACATGGGTGTTTAGAGTTGTATCCCCTAGATCAGTCTTTAGTAATTGGGCGCTCAAAGTGCACCAGATTGAAGTATTTTACTTTAAAATGTTAAAAAAAATCTTCCCGGGGGGACACCCCCGGACCCCCTTAGAGGATGTGAAGTCCACCCCCCAATTCAACATGTTCATGCAATACTAAATACATTTGAAGCCTTTTTATATAAGCTGTCCACCATATCAATACGTTTCTCTTTTTGTAGTGTATTGGTCTTTTGTAGAGGTTTTTCATTGCTAGCTAAAAATCTTGCCTAGGGCAGCAAATTGGTCAGAACCAGCCCTGGTGTCATCCCCACAGCACCCCCCATTTGAAACATGTTCCAAATGTAACAATCACTTGCATACTCTTTCAGGATTTGGCAGGGGCTTATTTTGTGCCCTGCTTGCATGAACACTGTGCAGATACTTTTAAAATCTATCACGTTACTGAGGCTGCCACACAGAGGAGCTGCAGTCCACCTCTCAGCTATGACGCCAGTTGATAGACTGCTAGCATTCTGCAAACACAAACATCAGGCAGGGATTTTGGACGAATATAGCTAAGTCGATTACAAAAAACACACAAGCAATAACATTCTGACTATTATTTTCCTGCCAAATCTAGCCGACTGTTTGGCATCCACTGACACCAACGCCAACGCAGCAGCCAAATCAGAATCCACGAAGACGAAATGACTGTCGATCCATGGAGCAAACTAACGAAACAACACGATGACATCGAACATAACACGGCAGTCTATTTTAATGATATTACACCAACCTTGACGTTGCCTCCGTGAGCCCCCCTCCCGTGTCTGATGCAGGGCTCCATCGTCGCTAGGGCTCCCTGCTTGTTTATTCCTGCTGCAGCAGCGGCCATTCTTGGACGACAGCGCAGATGACTGAGTAGGTGCGAGAGGAGAATCCCCCAAGTACTTCCGGGTTCGTTCTTTCGTCTTCTGTGTTGTGTATTCATTCATTTATTTATTTTGTATTCATGTTTAAACAGCACAAAAAGTGGAACAACATTTGCGGTGTCCACAACTGTCTGCATTCCGTTTTTAGCTAATAGTATTCTATTCCACATGTACATAGTTCACTGCTCCTGCATTACTTTATTGTTCACTTGCAACATTCTTTGCACTATTTTTTATGTTTTATGTCTTATGCTGCATTGTTGAAGAAGTCTGGGACTTTTTCATTCCGCAGTGTTGCTACTGTACAAATGACAATAAAACATTTGAATTAAAAAATAATGTTATAATACATATTACTTTAAAGTATTGTTTACGCATTGAGTTGACTGATACCTGATTAATACAGAAAAATTGGAATGAAAACAGTATAATCATATCATATCTGAGGGAATCAAGTTATTTTTATGCAATTCAATTACAGGGAAGAAGTCACACTGTTTGTCTTGTGTTGATGACGTAATGTTGACGCGACTCTCCTGGATCTAGCCCTAGCAAGAGGGACAGTTTTTAGCTAACGGAACTCTACTCTTTCCTTCAACTAATAACTGTTATTTTAACGGTAGGTGTTTCAACGTATTAAAATAGTCGTTTGTCGTTACGTGTATATGTAATATTTGAAGAGGAGTATGAAATAAAGTAGTTCCTCCATGTGTTCATTCAGGGCGGGTAACTGGAAACAATACAGCACTATTGAACCAGTGTCTTTAATAACTTCCCCATCTGTATCCTCTTCAGTCTTTCAGATCCACCTGCCTCAGGTATCAGTGATGTCTCAGCAGACGGCCCCCCTCGCCCCGGACTCCCCTGCGCTGCTGGTCACCAGCAACGTGCAGAAATATGCCATCAAGAAGAAGAAGGTCCTGAGCGCGGAAGAGGCGGAGCTGTTCGAGCTGACCCAGGCTGCGGGGGTCACCATGGACCAGGAGGTCTTCAAGTAGGTGCAGTCACAGGGGGAAGTAACTAAGTACTTGTACTGTACTTGTTACTGTACTTGTTACCTGAGTATTTCCATTTAATGCTATATACTTCCACTCCACTACATTTACAAGGAATTCATGTAATTCTACTCCACTACATTTATTTAACAGCTGTACCTACCTTTAACAAATGGCATCTCTTAACTAGTGAACTCACTTTTTAAGTCACAAAAGAGTTTTGTGATGATTTAAATATTTTACAAAAATTCAATCAGAACTTTGTTTGGCTACAACAATTGATGTATACTGTGTTTTAAAGATTCAAAGTTGTTATTGTCATATGCAAAGTTGGAAAAGTATGGAATCAATACCTGAAGTCCCAGGCTCCTTCAACATGCAACATAGGCCTACATATATATTAGACATAAAACAATAAAAAATGGTGCAAAAAGAAACCAATGAGCAATACAATCCTACTTTGATGCAACAATACTATCTAGAAATGTCACATTTATAAATATAATTGTTCACACACATAAAGGGCATTTTTCTGCACAAAGATTACTTTGACGTGTTTACACTTTAAGTATATTTAATACTTTGTAAGCTAGAATATGAATGCAGGACTTTTACTTGTAATTATGTATTTTGACAATAATCAATTGGTACTTTTACTCAAGTAAAGCGTCTGAATACTTCTTCCAACACTGAATATGATCAGCAGAAACATGAGTGTAGTGCAAATGGATCATAAACAGGAACTCTGACCTCACATCTTCCTCCCCCACCCCAGGATCATAGTGGACCTGTTAAAGATGAACGTGGCTCCTCAAGCGGTCTTCCAGACTCTGAAGTCGATGTTGGCAGGTCAGAGGGTCGCTGAGAGCTGCGGCATCGGGGAGTCTTCAACGGCGCCCCACACTACCAGCATCACCACGGCACCAACCGAAGCCAGAGGTGAATGTCTGCAACACACACAATCACTACTATATTTATATGGAAAGTTTAAGGGCTCATCACACAAGTTGTGCAGATGTCAATTATCTCCACTGAATGAGCTGCAACCAACATGAGGGTGAGCAAGATCTGTACATGCACATACACACTGGAGCGGGGGCCTTTTTCACTGCATATTTGATATCATATTTAAGGCATAGAATATAATATATAGCAATAACATTGGTTACCTTCTCTTCAGGTGTCACAGTCAGCCATGGAAGCGTAATTCAGCTGCATATCTGCAGGAAAATAAAGAATAATAATGAACAGGGTTCAAAACAGTTAATAGAACACACCAACAAAGAACTGATTGTGTGACATTAAACACCACAACTATCATTTTGTGAGAGTTTAAACTATTCATAAGGTTAATTATTGTTAAGATAAGTATATAGTGTGATTTAGGATTAATTCCTGCTTCACAAGTCAACCAAAATTGAATGAAGCCATTATTGAAGTTATTAGGTAGGCATTACATTTTATTTTTTATTTGGCACAATAACTTTCCTGCAAGTCACCTTTTACTGTCAAAGGCCTTTTCAGATATCCCAGTTGGCTGCTACAAAATCCCAGGTTTTGGTTAGAAGATGTGACAGCTCAGGCTCACAGCTTTTCATAACAAAGTTAAGAATGTTTTCTGATTCTTTTGTAATTCTTCTTGTGCTCTTCGCCTCTCCCAGCCCTCTTTAAACATGTAAACCATTCACATTCCTGCTCTTAAGAACTGTTCACACTGTAGTAGAGGCTCATTCCTGCACTCTGCATCACCTAATCCCCCTCACTTACTAAACTCTCTCTTTAGTCACTTAAAGGTGAACTGAAGAACGAGGATATAAAGTAGATAGTCTTCAAAAAGAAATCTTCATGCATGTCAGTCACGGGACTCTCTAATTTATTTTCTATCACTTTTGAATTCTGTTTTTCCTGTGCCTGTTGTTCACTGAAGAAGAGGACTCTTTGGTCTCTGGAAAGAGCCCTAAGCGTCCTGCAGCCCCCCCCTCAGCGTCTGGCCCCAGAGCCACAAGGGTCAGCACTAAGATTGTGGTCTACGGCCCCCAAGATGCTAACCCTCCTCACTCTCAAGGTCCCCTCTGCTGCACTCCGTCCACACCCCCATCTGTCCGCTTGCCTGCCTATATTAGTGTCATTAGTGTTCTGCATGTCTCCTCACTCCATGGACCAGCATCAAAATAACAAGTGTGTGTGTGTGTGTGTGTGTGTGTGTGTGTGTGTGTGTGTGTGTGTGTGTGTGTGTGTGTGTGTGTGTGCGTGCATGTGCGGAGTAATTTACAGTGGGTCATTTCATGTGGACATTTTCACTGCACAATATATTTTTAATTGGAGCTTTAGTGGCTAGAATGTAAAGTTTTTCCAGCAATGCTTTCCCAAGTCTCTCCCAATCTCCTATTTAAGTATGATTATTATTGTTTTACCGCTTGCTGCTTCAACGAAAACATTTCCGAATTTGGGATTACAAAATTAAATCTTATTTTATCTTGACACTTTACATGCAGCTTTAATTCACATATGAAAGCATTTTCTCGAAGGGGATAATATACCAGGACTTCTTGACTTTACATAAAGGTGTGGTTGTGGTAGAGTTGAGCAAAGGTGTGTTTTATTATTTATTTTTTATTTAACCTTATTTGTAAAGGAAATAATGTTTTTGGTCTCCCTATTTAAATGTAACATGGCCTTGCCTACATCTCTTGGGACAACCTGAATGATCACAGCTGTTGTTGCCAAAAGCCTATAGCCTCTTCTCCCAGCTCCCAGTCAAGTGTGCAGTGTTGATGTGCAGTGCTATAAACTGTATTTAAAAGAAGTTAAGAAATGGTGTCTGTAAAAAATGTCATTTTCTGTATGTGTAATGCGTTTATCTTTTCCATGTCATCGCCCTTCTCCATTTGTCATGTTCTCGGAGCATGTGTAGCTACAATCATCCCAACTAAACGTCCACCCCAGTCTATGGTCTGCCCTTTAACTTGCTGTGTTTCCTCCTCTTCTCAGCAGTGCGCAGTAAGGCAGCAGCGGGCCACAGTGAGAGGAGCAGAGAGGCCTCCAGCCAGCGGGTGCAGCGGCAGCCCAGCGCCACCAGGGGGCCTAAGACCAAGAGCTCCGGCAGCAGCAGCTCCTCCTCTCAGATAAACTCCACATGAGCCCCAGGTCAACATGACACCGTTTGTAAATATGTAGTTTTCTTTAAATCTAACTTATCTCTATGTAAAACTGAGTGATGTGTTTTTAAAGGGTTGTTTCTCCCAAATTACAAAAACAAACACTTTTCTTTTCATCATTACATGAGAGTTGAATTTATTTTTGTTAGCGCAGATAACAGTATCAAAATGTAACGTATTCACAGTATTTTAGCCTATAGTTGTTAACATTTTGGCTAATTGGCACAGTTAAAAGTACGCTGAATTATTTATTTGCAGTTACTATTTCGAGTGTAGTAATGGACATAAAGAAAACTATCTCTGGATGACTTTGATACTGAGAAAAACAAAAAAATATGATCATTGTTCCAAGGCAAGTTCAGGAGCTAATTTAATTAAGTAAGTATCACTAATGTCTTTTTTGTATTTTGGGTTAAAGCAATCCTTTACATTTCAAACATAATGTAAGGTAGTCCGGATATCTCTTCTTTTTTTGTTCTGGCAGATGTTACTGTAAGTGAGGAAAGCCTTTTGTTGCGTTTAACTTTTAAGAGTATGACAGAAAAACTGAGAAATATTTCACTTTTTCTACACAAAATGGAAATGTCTGTATTCAATGTGCAACTTTTTTATAAAATGACTGATCTTTAATAAATCCAATAATAATATTCTTCCCTGATATGACCAATCTCTTGCATACTTTTACAGTTACTCATGAATCAAACTTGAACTCTTATTAATTTAATATCTCAAGTTGGTTTCCTGCACTCTTATCCTCATTTTTAAGTACAACACTTCACATTGACAAATCCAGTATTTATGACCATTGTTGTTTTATTTTCAAGGATTTTATTGATTTTTCCCTTCTTCCATTGCCTTTGTAATCTTGTATTTCTTCTTGCTTTTCAGTTTTTAAAATACTGAAATCTTGCTTTTCAATTTGTTGGTGACTTGCACAGAGAATCTTGATACACTCATCGATCGATAAAGACACTTCAACAGAAAAAGGCTTCTTTCTCTCGTGGCTAGTCGGAAACAATTACCTGCAGATCTCAGAGTGTAGTGCTTGTCGGCTTTTCTTATTTTTTTCTGACTGAATGAGTACAGCTGTTCTGTCTTTCTCTTCCTGAATGGCTGAAAATACAGTCAGAGCCTCAGCTATTCTGAGACGAGACACATTTTTAAAAATGACCTTCAAGAATGCTCTCGGTTATTGATCTTGCTCTAACTGTGATGGTTATGAATGTGAAGAGGGGTTGATATATTTCATATTTTTCAGTTTGAAATGTGCTGCCTCTATGGTTCAGAATAGTTTTCTGCTCCGTCACATGGGGGCAGTAGAAGCACACTGCAATCACTTTTGTCCCACAGTTGCACCCACATCTTTTCTCCAACCTCTCTCCTTGCTATTATGAATGAAAGTGAGTCTGAAATGAATGCATTGTGTGTGTATTTGAAACAAAGCATCCTTTCGTTCACACACAGACGGAGAGTTTACCTCACAGGTGATGCAGAGGGAGAGGGTGGATGCTGTGGAGGTGGCAGGCTGCAGGGCTTCAGCTGCGGGTCTTTTATGTGGCCGTTTGTCCTGGTTATGTGTTCCTGCCTCTGCTCTGCGCTCTGCATTGATGGCAGCGTGCCTGTAATTGATGGCACCTTATTGCTGTGGTGTAGCAGGTTTAATGGGGCTTGACAGAGCAAGAGAAAGCAGCATGCAACCAGGGAGGGAAGTTAACCCTTTCCCTCACACCCCACCCTCCATCCCAGTCTCCCCCCGCTAACTCAGACTAATGTAATACTCTGGTGTTTTTATCGTTTGTACTTAAATCCTAAAGTCATATAAGTCTTATAAGAAGTTAACTTTGTCTTTACATTGAAATACATCAACCCTTTATGTTTGCGATTGTGCACATAGGTTTCATTAGTTTACATTCCAGGTTGAGGAACATGAAAAATCTCGAAAATTTAGAGAGTTGGCGTACATGTAAAGGAATTAGTTCGTCCTGAGTAAAGCTCCTTCTAAGGAATATGGCTAACTCAATTTCACCGCTAGACGATTAATGTCCTTTAGTCTGTTTTCGATCAACAAAAAAATAGTCACAAATCCAACTCAAGTATTCGTCAACTACCAAAGATCTCTTAAAGGAACTTTTCCGGATTTATTTTATTTTAGACGTCCTTCATTTTACTTTGTGGAGTAAAATTTTTTTAAGTTAATACATTTTAATTTAGGTAGTTTGGAAAAATTCCTTAAATATACGGTCGAAAAAATGAGGACTGAAATCACCAAGAGTAATAACGGTATCGGGACGAAAGGTTTCCGAAATAAACAGATTAATTTGTCGTTTTATTATTTTTTTACCACAATGAAACTTGTGATAAATAAACTTATTAATTAATGAAGAAATCATATGCAAGGAGGCTGAACTTAACACGAAATATTTAAGAAGTTTAGGTAACCGGTTACGAACTCTTTGTTTTACGGTAAGTTAAGTCGAAGGACCTTAAGTGTCTTGAGTGTTTCTATCCTTGTAGAACTCGTTTGGTGAACCCGTTTATTTTGGGTTCTCATAGGGACGAACCAAACTTTTGCCCGAATTGTAAATTCCACACCCTTTAACCCAGAATAAACATATCAAAACCGTTTGACTGGGAATACTTACGAAAAAACTTTTCCTATTATAACCCGCAAACACCGACAAAGTTGCAGACTAGGTCGAGGTTCCTCTTACTACCTTCTCTCCTAGAAAGTCCGCTATCTTCACAAATCGAAACACACGCAACTTGATATATGCATCGTCTCTCACTTACCTCTATCTTGTCTCCTAACACTCACCACTACCTTTTTTCCCCCCCACCCCCCTCCGTTAGTTCTACTCTCTCTGACGGAGTGTAATGACAGTTCGCTAAATTATATTCACACCTTATTCGTGTTGTTTGTAACTGGTTAGTGTACAGGTCGTCGCGTCGGAGCTTGACAAGCGTTCAGTCGGGACTTCTGCTGGTATGTAGCGTCTGAAATGAAGACTATTTTTCCGTATGGTTATATTGACTTCCGTATCGCCACCGTCTTCTTTTTATCGTTGGGTTTTAGACGTCGGTCGACCTTTCTCACTAACCCCTCGCCTCCTCTCCCGCCCACGCTACTACGCTCTTCACTTTTTCCCCAATTCTCTCTCTTAACATTTCTCTGTTGATTCCTCCTTCACCGGATATTTAAAATCGTCTCTTTACAACCTGGTATCAAGTGATTTTATTCTCTTTTCAGTCTATTTATGGGTTCCTTTGCCTTTTCATACCTCCTCTTTTTTTCTTGCTTGTCGCCTCTTTGTCACTATAAGGAGGGTGGTGGTAGGGGCTTTTTTTTTCTTTTTTTTTTTTTTGTTTTTTTTTTTTTTTGTTTTCTTTGTTTCTGTTTTCTTCTTTAGATTCTTATTTCCTTTTTTATTTGTTTTTTTTCTAAAACTTACCCTTTCTTGTTTATTTAGTTTTCTTAATCTTACACTTTTATTGTAGTCGAGGTATTTTTTTATCTGTTTTTTTTTTTTTTTCGTTTTTTGTTACAGATTATAGTTGGGTTAAAATAACTTTAGTTGGGAGCTCCTTGGTCGTATACGCGTTGGTTTTTTTCTTCTTCTAGTCACTTCTTTGTTATATACTCTTAAATTCTGGTTTTGGGTTGCAAGTAATTACTAACGGGTTGTCGAAACTGATCGAGTAATTAACGTTCACGACCACTATGCGGTATCTGTGTATTGCTAGTGTTTGTTTTTACGTTTTTAGTGCTACGGTCAAGTACGCGGGCTCTGGCATGCTATGTGCTTGAACCCTAAGATCTGGTTGTGAATGTCAATTAGTAGAACGTTGTGCGTTATCCTACTGTCGATTATAATTCAGCGCAGATCGGACGTCATGTTCGTTGTACGAGTAGCAGTAGCTTGAACTGGAATTACGTATATCACAGAGTGTCGCCACGTGTCTCAGCGGTTTGAATAGTTCCACTAACATCATCACCACACATTTGACTCACTTCCTATTGTGAGGGAAATAATTACCTCCTCAGACGTGATCGGTACTTTAAGGTAGTATTGTTTTTTATTTGTGTAGGTTTGCGACCTCACCTACGGAAAACCCTTTCACTGTACTCACCTTCCGATGCAACCATCGAGTCTAGCCGTGTGACCCGGGGAAGTCCTTAGCGGTCCTTGATGCAGACGCTCAAACATTTATTTAAGGGTCGGCAAATGGAAACAGTTTGTGAATCCAAGGAGGTTCGTTTTGTCCCCTTCGTGGTTGTCGACCGGTCAATATAAAGTCTTCACGCAGCTCCACAACCCGAAGGAACTAGTACCTGTTCGACGGTAATGGTACTGGACTATTGTCATCCTTAGCATTTGTTCGATTAGTGCTCCGGGATAAACATAAGAGTAAACACAAACGACGTGACGACACGTCCCCCCCCCCCCCCCCCTCCGGTTTGTGGTGCTTTTTG